AAACAAGTGTTCAGTTTTGTACAGCATGAAGACACTGTCTACTAATATTATAAAATTTAAACGCTGGGGAGGCCTTAATCCTTTAACTCCCAGAAGTAACCTCTCCCTACAATATTCATTCACTATCCAGCAAGCAGGTAATGAGAATACTCAAATGTAGAAATTTGTTATCTTGATCTAACACCAAACTCTCGTAACTTATTTACAAAGAAATGTGTAGCAGCTGAAGGGGAGAATTAACAATGCACCTATGCATTCATCTTGATGTCTGATTTCCTGTGGGTGGGGGGGAGGGGGGGTTGCAAGAGTCTCTAAAGATAAAATTTTGTCAAACTGCAGTATAGCATTAGATACGAACAGTTTTATTTTAGTGCACTTTGTTTTTGTATCTATCTAGAGTAGGAAAGTAGGATTCCCCTCCCTTATTGAAGGTCTGATGTCAGTAAGTAATGTTATCTGTACTGACTTGCAGGGCTCCAGAACTGTTTGAAGTTCCTTCAAACTGTGAAATTGATGAGAGAAGTGACGTTTGGTCTTTGGGTTGTACTCTGTTTGCCATGGCTTATGGTGAGATTTTTCTTTAAATTGATTGAAATTGCAGCAGAAACTGAAATTACAAAGGGTATATGGCAATTTTTTTTGTCTGACTGGAGGCGGTAGAACTGGGTTTTTATATGTCAGTAGTAATTATTGGTTTTGTATGTTTAACTTGTTGGTTACTCAGAGCATGGTAATCATAGCATAAGAACAGTTATGTCACAATGAAGATGATATAACAGAATAACAGTGCCATTTGTTCAATGGTGAATACTTTAAATATTTTTAATAGAGAAGTATCAAAATCACAGAGAAATAGAATTTCATTAAATATGGCAAACATAAGAATAGACATCAGCTAGCCTACTCACTTATCCCCAGTACTTAAGGTACGGGATGTGATGACACCCTAAAAGTTTATCAGAACACATGGTCTACAGTAAAAACCTGTATATAAGAACCTAGAATTTTGGAGGTCAGGCTGAACAGGTTCCTATATTTTGGGGTATTTTTTCCAATAACAGGCTGATTAGGTTCTTAGTAGGTTCTTATTTGCAAAAGTTATTATAGTGATAGCATTCGGGGGACTGCAATAGTACTAATATGCTATAGTTGTAAAGCATTTACAAAAATGTCAAGTCTTTTTGTCGAAACAAGTCCTGTATCATGTATCAAAAAACTGTTTTGACTTTTAAATGTACTGTACAGTATTTGTGACTGTATTTGTAACTACAGCAAAGTTTTATGGAATGAATAATATTTTATTGGTAAGACTAAAAAGCAGTACACTACAAAAATTTTCACAATTGAAATCCAGAATTTGAACATCAAATCTGGAGTGTTTTTTTTTATATAAAAACCTATTTTTCTTTGTCAGGCTGAATAGGTTCTTATATATTTGGGTATTAAAATGCAAAATTTCAGCCTGTAGGTTTTTAAATAACTAGGTTCTTATACGTGGGTTTTTACTGTATCTCAAAAATGTTTAATGTCTCTGGCCCTGTACCAGGGAATTGCTCACAGGGAGTCTTTGATTTCCTACGCAACAGATGAGGATCTCCATAAAATTATGTTCAGCATTTTTCATGGTTTTTGTTTTAAATCAGGTCAAAGCCCTTGTGATGGCTCAGCACTCTCTGCAAATAGTGGTAATATTCAAATTCCAAGTAACAGGTAAGTTTCTTGTCGAGTTTTCTATAACAAGCTTATGTTCTTGTGTGCTTCATAGTTGCCAACGTTTAGACAATCAATCTGTAAACTTCACGTTGCCATGTTTTTTTCCTTATTCCCGCCATACTTAATTTTAATCTGGAAGATTTCATGGGGCTCCATCCTTTTCAGACATGAGAGCTAGTAGTTCACCAGACATTTTGGCTTAAAATGTAAACTGCTGGATTTCTCTTTGAAATGAGGGGACTGAAACTTTAATGGTAGCTTCTTTGCAAAGGAACTGAGAGAGGACAGGAAAGTTTCCTATCCAACTTTTTCTTTTACGAGAGGGATTTTGTAATGAGGTGCATAGCTAAAAGTACATATAAAGAGTTTTAAGCCCTTGTTAGGGTGCCACAGAGTCAAACAAGGAACTCATACGAATCTGATGCGATTAAATGTGAACTTCAGCCGCGGGAAGATGTTGAGGGTGGCGGAATTTTTCTCGACCAATCGCTGAGCATAGTAAAGCAAAACCGATGGGATCCCATTTTACTTTTGTCTCAAAGTTTGAAATTCCTGTAGACCTGATGCTAGTTTGGCTCTTAAGAAACCTGAGCACTCCACTTCATGTGCTCTTCAAGAAGTTTGTAGAAATTGACTTATCTCATGTTTGTTTTTCAGTGTTTATTCAATGGAGCTAAATGGTCTGATAACAAGTATGCTTAAAGTGGATCCTCAAGAGAGACCTACGCTTCAATTGATTTTACGCAGACTAGAAAACCTAGCTCCCGCCTCATCAGTCTTTAGCTTTGAAGGCGGAAGAAGTGTTTCCATACAAATGTAAAATTTACTTTACCTTTTTTTAATCTGACATATAACTATTTGATCAAATTACTTAGAGAATCGTATCACTAAAACCCAAGTTATAGGAAGACATTTCGATTTATTGTCTTAAAATCAAAACCAAAGTTATCACAACAGAGAACAGAGCAAAAAAAATTATCATACGGAGTCAATAAGAGAAAACAAGCGAACTGCTTGAGGCGCGGGAAAATGTGAATGACAAGGTCGTAATTAGTATAGGTTTTGAATCTGATTGGTTGAAAGTATAGGCGTGCGTTTTCATGGCCAATCACAAGTCGAAGTGAAGCAAAACCAAAGCAGTCCTGGATTACTTTTGACACTCAAATAAGTGCGTTAAAACCCACCGTTAGCACGTACTCAGAACCCGAAATTTCGAATTTCGTAGCTTTAGAGTAGGCTGTTATTGCCATTTCGAACTCGTTTTGAAATATTTAGCCAGCAATATGAAGATATCTTGAGTTTTTTTCTGGGGGGAGGAGGGGAAGGAGTGAAGACAATTGCCGATTATTGTTGTAAAATAGGAATTAGCAAACACTCATAGAGGCAAGTATCAACTGGAGAGGTGAATAACTATGTTGAAGATGGAGAAGGATTACACAGATCGAAAATAATTCAAGATTAATAATATAAGAGCCCCTACATTTTCAAGATATGCAAATTGTTATTCCCCTCGCAGCCACCGTCTGTCACGCAGAGAGGAAGCGTTGCGTGACAAGGCCACTAAGGATACTATAGATAAACTCCCTTTCACTACACATGAGATTTTTAACCTATTCACTCCAAGGTCCTATCTCCTTTAATGTCTCCCACACAATTCTTATGTTGGTCGTTTGGAGAATTCTCTATCGGATCAACACAGTTATTCTCATCACTTGCTTGCTAGATATTGTATTCATAATGTTAGGAGAAATTCTGTCTTGTTCACTCGTGGGAGTTGAAGGGTTAAGACCTTGTACTTAAAGATTAACTGATATCCAAAAGCTTTGAATGTGTGGAGCCCTCAATTACATCAACTGCAGTAATTCTGGACAGACTTCTCGCGCTGTTGTTGGGTCTAAGATACAGACCTGTTGTTACATTAAGGCGGATCCGAGTAGTCATAACATGCTTCTGGCATTAATCGGTCTTTCTAACCATTTTTCACTCTATCATTATCACTCTTTTTAGCCCAATTTCAGCTGTTTTTTTTATCCATAGTTCTTCTGTTCGTTTCGGCCTATTCTTACAGCAAGGTCAACGTTCGTCTCCGCCACTAAATGCCGCTTGTACGAGGCAATATTTTCCAAGAACATTCGGCCCCTAGAGGCGTCATGCCAACTGAATTAAATATTGCACGTTACAAGAACACAGTTTCCGCCATTGCATGGGTACAGCTCCGACTATTTGTTTTGTATCTTCCTATCATACTGGATTCTTTTTCACAAATCCAAGTTTTCATGACGTCAATTTACTTAAACTCATCTCTGAACCCCTTTCTTTACTGCTGGAAAATCGGGGAGGCGAAACAAGCTATAAAGGACACAATTAGACAGTTAAACTGCCGTTGTGGGCCAAACTAAACCCAGGTGTTGTACAAAACAGTGCAAAACTCCGTGGGATGGACAGCTGGACTCATGACTTTTTAGTGTACAAGTTTTATATTCAGGCCATTGAATCGCCACGAGAAAGAATCTCTCTATCAAGGTGACGGTTGTTATTCCACTAGTCTACGAAGAGTGGCTCACAGTTGGGCGACAACATCCTCCCAATTGATCATGTTGATGTTAAAGGAATATTTTCTGTCACTTCAGAGTGGTAGTAAACCACAGCCTCAAAGTTCAATTCAGCCATTTCTTGCGGAAGCATTAATAACTTGCCTTAATCATTTCAAGATGTTACTAGGATTGTAGGAGAGAATTAGAGAGATTCTGTGGAAAACTAGAATAGGAACAAATTTAACAAAACTGATAAATATAACAAATGTTTTTACGGTATTTGAAAGTGAAATTGCAAAATATTTACTCACGACATATTTACACAACAAAGGAACCGATCAAATTGCAAAATATTTCAGCTGGTAGAAACAGGATCTTTTGAAATGATTGCACTATAGCCATTTATTTCGTACATAAAAAATATGACTGCCCGTATCACCCGAAAGAGAATATTCATCATCATCAGAGCAGGCAGAAACCAAACTATTCAAGGCTTTAGGGGGAATTCAAGATCAGTTTTATGGTCGTATGCAACTGTGCTTAGCTGATAACGTCACCCACCTGCGCCTTACAAATCGACCTACTCACGACATATTTACACAACAAAGGAACCGGTCAACACGGTTAAACATTTTGAAGTCTCACAGCTAATAACACCAGAGCAAAACTGACCAATCAGTTGACACAGAACTAGTTTTGTAGACATCGACTGACGAAAACTCTTCACTTTCTGCTACGTGCAGTTCTCGAAACATCACTAAGCCACTATCACCAACAACTGTCCTTCTCAGAACTACTCTCACCCGAACGATCACAGTACACCATCAAAATCAGTCAAACAAGAACAGTTTACAGTAGCCAACATTTGCCTTTCTGAGAAAAAACTCTCTGTTGCTGGCTTTGAGAAAAATGCTGAACACCACTGATGAACATACAAACTCCTCATTTGAAGTCAGTTATCCGGCGTCACTCGTGGGGATGTCTGCAGCATTCGCATCCTTGAACACTTTTCTCTCCATCACCGCGACACTTGGCAATGTTCTCATCCTAATTGCTCTTAACAAAGTGACTTCGATTTGTCCTCCGACGAAACTTTTGTTTCGATGTCTGGCGGTCACCGATCTTTGTGTTGGACTGATAACACAACCGCTGTTTACAGTAACGCTTCTTACCAGCTTCAACTACGATGAATATGTTGAAGACATACAGGTGATCTCATCTATGGTTCTTTGTGGTATCTCCCTCTTGACATCAACTGCGATAAGTGTGGACAGACTTCTTGCGTTGTCGTTGGGTCTGAGGTATAGATACGTTGTTACATTAAGGCGGGTGCGAGCGCTTATTATCTCCTTTTGGTTTCTAGTTGGTGCTTCGTTTGGGTGTCTCCTCATTTCAGGAATTCACTTTTTTGTATTTGGTGTTGTGATGCTTATTTCTCTTCTTATCTCGGCCATCTCTTACGCTAAGATCTATTTCCGTCTCCGTCACCAACTGCTTCATGTACAAGGCCATGTTCACCAACGACAACAACTTCCTCCCAATGGCGTAGTACCGACTGCATTGAATGTAGCGCGATACAAGAAAACAGTTTCCGCCATAACATGGGTACAGCTTGGATTATTTGCTTGCTACTCTCCTTTTTGTATTACTTTAGTTTCACCCCATTTTGTAGAGTTTTTGGACGATAATATATTTTACTTTTTCCTTTGTTTACTATTCTTAAACTCATCTCTGAACCCCATTCTTTACTGCTGGAAAATCAGGGAGGTGAAACAGGCTGTAAAGGACACAATTAGACAGTTAAACTGTTGTTGTGAGCTAAATTGAACCTTTGTGTTATGAAAAACAATGTAAAACTCTGTGGAAAGAAAAAAACGGCTGGACTTAAATACAAGTTATATTCCGACTACTGAATTGCCACATGATCAAGAGAGGATCTCTGTATCAAGGTGACAGTTGTTTTTCCCCTGGTCTACAAAGAGTGGCTCTATACGTTGGGTGACAACATCTTCCTAAATGATTTTGATGTTGTGTTAAGGAATATTTGCTGCCACCATAGGGTGCGACTGAGCCACAGGCTCTCCTACAATCGGCGGGACCAAAACAGCTAAAACGGAACCTACACCAAACTGTTTTCTAGTTCAAACAGGTATAGATACTGAACACCGCTGTACTCTGTTGTTCACCGGCTACTGAGCAAAGCTGCAAAGCCAACGAGTTTG